CCAGACATATGTGGATTTACCTCATTTAAAGGAAGAGTGAGATATTCACACAGTTCAAGAAGTTCAAGTTGCATGCTGAAAAACAAAGTGGCTGCAAATTGAAAAAGTTAAGAACTGATGGTGGTGGTGAATATACTTCAGCAGAATTTGCCAGATTTTGCAATGAGGAAAGTATTGAGCATGAGGTTATTACACCCTATACGCCTCAGTATAATGGAATCGCTCAGAGAAAGAATAAAAGTGTGTTGAACATGGCCAGATGTATGTTGAAAGCTAAGAGTATGCCTAAGAGATTTTGGGCTGAAGCAGCTTCGATAGCAGTATACATTATAAACAGATGCCCAACGAAGAAAATGGTCGAAAAGACACCACATGAGGCTTGGATAGGGTCGAAGCCAAATGTAAGTCATCTTAAAATTTTTGGATCAATGTGTTTCAAGCATGTACCTGAACAATTGAGAAAGAAGCTGGATGATTGAAGTGAAGTCACGGTGCTCATAGGTTATCATTCGACTGGTGCATACAAGTTGTATTCACCAATCGAAGATAAACTAGTGATCAGTATAGATGTTCTTGTAGACAAAAGAAAAGGATGGGATTGGAGTCGAAGTGCAGTTCGACAAGAATTAGACATAGTCACAACTGTGTTCAAAGAAGATGAAGCTTCGACAAGTCAAAATGAACACGGTGATACTTTGACTGGTCAAAATGAAGAACCACCTGTACAGAACGAAAGAAGATCCACAAGAACAAGAACAGAGTCAACTAGGCTTACTGGATATGAGAGGTTTCTAGATCAAGCAATAGATGTTGATGGTGACTTAATTGAAGAAGCCATGATGATGGATGAAGCAGAACCAATTGACTTGGGTGAAGTCTTGAGCAATTCGAATTGGTGTGAAGCCATGAAAGAAGAACTTAGAGCCATTTAGAAGAACAACACTTGGGAACTTGTCGAAAGAACCAACAAGAAACCAATTGATGTGAAACGGATCTACAAGGTGAAACGAAGGCCAGATGGTGAGATTGCAAAGTACAAGGCAAAACTGGTGGCCAGAGGTTTTCTACAACAACCAGGTATTGAATTTGATGAAGTGTATGCGCCTGTTTCTAGGATTGAAACAATCAGGATTGTTGTTTTGATAGTTGTATATAGAGGATGAAAAATGCACCAACTTGATGTGAATTCAGCATTTTTGAATGGGCCTCTGGAAGAAGAAGTCTATGTCACTCAACCACCAGGCTTCGACGTTAAAGGGAAGGAGTCGAAGGTTTATAGATTGAGGTGTGAAATCAAGCTTTCCAAGTGTTTTGATGAAGACAAACTAGCATACAAAAATGAATGGATCAAGATAGAAGATTTATCTCAAGCAAGATTCATTGATCAAGATCAACATTTCAAGACTTATGGCTTTAGGTATATGAAATTTTTGATCTTATGCTCTTAGTGCTCAAAACTATTTTTAATCATGCATTTACTTTATTAAAATAATATTTTGAGTATACACTATGTATGATTGAAGAAGGATGTTTTAAATTTCTTAAAATAATTAAAAAATAATGATTTTTCAATTTTTCTACACAAGCAATCGATTGTCATGCTAGGACAATCGGTTGCAGTCAAAAAACAAAAGTTTCTGTTTTGACAACAATTGATTGTCATCTAGCAGCAATCGATTGTCATGTGTTTTGTTTTCAATTTTTTTTGAACGTTGGCCTATGAGCAACCGATTGCTCCTCAATAAAAATCGGTTGTCATAGTTATATTTTTCAAATTTTTAAACGTTGCTTTTACAGCAATTGGTTGTTGCTTTAGTGCAATCGGTTGTTGTGCTTCAGATTTTGAAAATTTTCATTTTTCCAGCAACTTTTTGTAACACCTTTTCATGGCAATCTTTGTATCTTTTCAAATATTTTTTATAGTAAAAATGGTTTAAACATTGCTATGATTCATTGAAGAGGTATTACTACACTATAAATTATTTTTTGTTTTAAATTTTAAATATAACAACAATCACCAAAAATAACAATTACTTTCTATTCTTTGAATCATACTCTCAATACTCAAGATTTCTGTTTATCATTTTCACATGCATACTGAAAATTGTTCTTGAGCACTTAGAAGAGTATTCCATCTTAAATTTAATATTGAATAGAAAAGATCAATCAAGTGATTGACATTGCTCTTTCATCTTTCAAACTCATTTACAAATCAAACAAACTATTGTATCCTTGTTTTCAGGATTGTTGGAAACAAGAAAGACACTTAGGGAGGATTGTTCTCTTTGTGGTCTTAGTGAAAATCCAAGAGGATTGTTCTTGGTCCAAGAGGATTGTTCTTGGTTGTTTGGTAGTCTTTGTACAAATTACCAACTATAAGGAAATCTCTTTCATGTTGAAAGGGGACTGGAGTACTCTCGGACTGTGAGGGGAACCAGGATACATCTCTGTGTTCTTTACTTTTCGCATTTACTGCTTTCATCACTTATCAGAAAAAGAAAGAAAAGAAACTCGTGCAAAAATATTCATCAAACCAGAAAAAGTTTTTAGAACCTAATTCACCCCCCCTCTTAGGCGCATCTGAACTTACATGAGGAAGGCTCTCCATGGCTTGAAGCAAGTTCCTAGAGCTTGGAATAAAAGGATAGATAGCTTCCTAATCGAAGAAGGGTTCACAAAGTGTGCCTCTGAAGATCGAGTGTATGTAAATGATATTGAAAGTGCCAATCGAATCATTTTATGCTTCTATATTGATGACTTACTCATTACAGGAGCAGATGAAGCTGAGATAATGAAGGTAAAGTCAAAGTTAATGCAGGAATTCGAAATGTCTGATTTAGGGGATCTTTCCTACATCCTGGGAATGGAATTCAAAGACATCGAAGGAGGAGTTTTCTTGCATCAAATAAAGTATGATCAAGATATATTGAAGAGGTTTAATATGAGCAACTGTAAGGCAGTTGTTACTCCATTAGAGACAGGAGCAAAATTGAAGAAGGAATTAAATGATGAGTTTGTAAGTTCGATCCTTTACAAACAAATCATTGGATCATTGAGGTATCTTTGCAATACTAGACCAGATATCTGCCAAAGGGTAGGATTGTTAAGCAGATTTATAGAGAAGCCTCAGGAATGTCATCTCATTGCAGTAAAGAGGGTGTTGAGATACATCAAGGGAACTGTTGATCATGGTGTGTTGTTGCCAAAAGGATCGAAGAACAGTACAAATGTCGAAGTGCATGGATACACTGACTCAGATTTCAATGGAGATCAAGATGAAAAAAAAGTAATGTAGGGTACATTTTCATGATCGAAGGAGCTCCAATCTCCTGGAGTTCAAGGAAGCAAAGCATTGTGGCTTTGTCTTCATGCAAAGCAGAATATGTGGTTGCATCATATGCTGCATGCCAAGCAGCATGGATCGAAATGTTACTTGAAGAGCTCAGAATAATGGAATCGAAGATGAAGCTGTTTGTTGATAACAAGTCAGCAATAAATCTTGCGAATCACCCAATATGTCATGGTCAAAGTAAGCACATTGAACGAATGTATCATTTTTTGAGAGACCAAGTAAACAAAGGGAAGCTTCAAATAGAATATTGCAAGACAGAAGTGCAACTAGTTGACATTTTCACCAAACCTCTGAAGAAAGTAAGATTCGGAGAGTTAAAGAAAGGCATTGGGATGAGAAGTCTTGATAACATGAATTAAGGGGGTGTGTTAGTTGGTTAATTCTTGTTAGTTGTTATTTAGGCTTTAGCTTGTATTTGGGCCTGGGCATGTTGCCTATATAAAGGGCCATTACTTTGTAAACAATATAATTGTAACAACAATAATAACTGTTTTCAGTTTTAAGAGTTAGTTACACTAACTAACTCAACAATCTCTCTCTCTCTTCTTCTCTCTTCTTCTTCTTGTTTTTCACTACATTCATCTTTCTTGAATCCTTTATTCAAACATATACTATTAGATTCGTATTTTTGACCGTCCAAAAAAACAAAATTAAGTACATATCAGAAAAATTAAATACCACACAAAATTAATTTATCAAATTAATATGGGATAAATAAAACAAAACAATAAACTTGTCCTAGTGGGAGAAAATAAAAATTATAAAAAAAATTTAAAAATTTTAAAAAAATTTTAAAAAAAATATAGTAGCTTATATAAGGACTCAATTGCGTGTTTTAAATAGGGTGCATTTAGTTTGGAATCTTGCTGTTGTAACTTGGGTTGAGTAACCCTAATACTCCCTTTATATATACTTGTTTCAGGAGGAAAAAAAACCTCAACAAAATACAATGTATTTGAACTACTAATTTATTAGATTCGTATTTTCTATTCGTGTATACTATATTTTTGATCATATATACTATTAGATTCGTATTTTCGATGGTCCAAAAAAATAAAATTAAGTATCTACCAAAAAAATTAAATACCACACAAAATTAATGTATTAAATTAGTATGGAATAAATAAAACAAAACAATAAGTTTGTCCTAGTGGGAGAAAATAAAAATAAAAATAATTAAAAATAATTAAAAATAATTAAAAATAAAATTATAAAAAATTATAAAAAAAATTTAAAAAATATAAAAAAATAAAAAAATAATCAAATTTCCACGTGAAATTAAAAAAATTAAAAAAATTAAAAAAATAAAAAAACCACGTCAAATGTCACATAGACAGATTCTGCTGAAATCTTGATCCAAAGTCAAGTTTGAGGGAATCTTATTTTGTTGAAGGGCTAAAAGAAATTTTCTTTTTAAAAAAGAATAAATCAAAACTCATTACTATTAGAAGAATAAAATGCATTTAATTCAAAAAAAAATTACACCTAATTACCACACACGAAGTTTATAGACAAAATTAATGTTGGATAATTGCTTAGCGCATGTTTGCATCTCAAATGATTCAACGCCACCATACAATAAAGTTAAAGCTTGGTATTATAGCTTCTCTCTTGGAACAAAAAAAGAGATTTTACAATAAAAACAAAACTATTGAAGAATATAAGTTCTACAAATAGGACACGATCCTTGTTGTACTAGCCATTTGTCAATGCATTCTAAATGATAAATGTGACAACACTTTGGAAGTATTCTCACCAATTCTCCGTTCTCAAAATCCTGCAAAATCAATATGTAAAACATAAGTTTATGTAAAATATGAAAACTTCTAAAATCTCAAAATGATATATAAATGATTAAAGTGAATTTTTTTTTGAGAAGTTAAGATATTTTGTTTCTGACCTGGAAGCAAATTGAGCAGCATGATTCATTGTATAATTTCATAATTTTGTCGGAAGAGTTAAATTTATGAAATGGGAGTTTCATAATACAAGTTTGTGACATCCCTTTAACTCCCATGCTGTCATAAATATCTGAAACCACTCCTCCATAACCTGCTTCTACTGAATTTATCTGAAAACATTTAACTTTTTTTTTTTAATCAAATGTAACCCATGACTAATTTTGTAATTCAACATTTAGTACTAAAACTTACATAAGCTTGTGCCACAGTTGGACATATCCATTCCATAAACACTTTTCCATTTAATAAACTTGTCAACAAAGCAACCTGCAATTCCATACCTAAATTTTTTAGGTGACAAGAACACTATCTCTATTAGATTAAGAATACCAGACACGATACTAACACCGACACTCTGAACACTATCCAGATATATGTCATTGTCGTGTTAGTGTTAGTGTTGGACACGAAAATATTGGTACTATGAGAAATCTTACCTTAGAAAATGACTCACCATCAGAAGCTAAACTCATAAACTCTATGGTTGCAATGGCTCCTCCAATTGCTCCTTTGCAAGCTCCATCAAGAAAACCAGCTTCTGTGGTTTGGCCTTTTATAGCTCCTCCTATTGTTCCTATTATTGAACCTCCTAGAGTTCATAACACAACATTTTCACTCACTTTTTACAATAACATATACATAATATAAACAAGAGAAGCAAAATGCAACATACCAAGTGCTAGAACACAAGTCAATACAGCAAAGAGAATTCTCTCCATAACTTTGATGAATTTCTCAAATGCACAACAACCAATGAGAGTCAAAACCTTGAAAGAAAGAGCTTCAATTCTTCTACAAAACCACTTACTGATTGTTGGTGAAGTAATGGTAATAGCCATATTCAAATTGAGAAGATAATTAAATGACGTAGATGTCTTGCCTCAATATGAGTGTAAATGTAAAGTGCATATTTATAACTATTGAATCTCACTCATATTTATAGTATTTCAGTTAGGATTTTTGGATATAAGGATAATATAGCAACTTTCACACCTCATTTTTTAATTTATCATGATAAAATATTCATTTGTTTTAATCTTTTATCCCATTCATAGTTTTAAAAAAGGTCACGGTTACATTGTAATTTTCGCAATTTCGATCGATAATTATAATATTAACACCTATCAAAATTATTTTGTGCAACCGTTTTTGAGATAATCTGATTTCAATAAGTAGTTAGTGTAAAAAGTAATATCAATGTTTTGATATTATAAGATATTTTTGAGATAACTATCATTGGAGTGATGAGTAGTTGGTTACGTGTATCAATTTTGTTGCTTTTGAGAACATTGGAAACTTTGAAAGATAAGAAATTCTCCTATAGAAAAAAAAAGGATCATAGACTCTTAGTGAGTAAAATTACCAAATGGTGCTTGAGTAATGAAGATAGTTCATAAATTTGATGGGTGGAATTGAAATGATTTTGTTGTCAGTTAATTAAAGTATACTACACAGTTACTTGAAGAGTATTGTTAAATACTAGTAAATGTTAACTTAGGGTGGTGGCTGAATTGGTTATCCATCATGTTTTGTACTAATTCATATTTTTTATTCTTCCTTGCAATAAATAAAATTTTAGATATTTAGAGTCTTTGGATAGTTCGTTAACTAATATGGGAAAATAGTTAGTTTTTTCTATTCTTTTGAATAATTAATTATAAATATTTATTTTTATAAATGATACTTCGTTCATCTAATTATTTATATTTAGATTTTGTTGAAATAATATAGCAAATGTGAGTAAGTGGGATATATAAATTGGATAACCCACTCACCTATCACCTTAAGATTTTAGATGGACAAGTAATGTGTCTCTCACAAAAGTGTTTATATTTCTAAAAATATTATAAAATATATTAAAATAGTAATGGTTGATTTTCTTAAATGCACTACAACAAAACTAATAGGATGAAACATAAATAAGAGAATTTGTTTATAAATGTTGTGTTTCCTAATTCTATTAAAAGGAATAGTTGCAAATGCTCAGAGTTTAATATAATTTTTTATTATAAAGAATTTTGGAGGTTTACTATGCTTCTTTTTTTTAATATCAACAACAAAAATTGAACTCACAATATTTTTGAATAATCACTTCTTACCAACTTATTACTATACTTTTTTTCATATAAATAAATTCTTTATTGATCTTCATTGGCTCGAAGTACAACTAACAATAATCAAGACAACAACAGATGAAGAAATTATAACAACAAGAAAAAAATCTTTATTAAGTTTAGGTGTATAGATATTAAATGGGCTCACAGTTTGAACAGCTAAGGTAAACAAAAACAAGGTGCTAGAAAGGTGGTTCCTGGTTATATTGCATCTGTGGGCTGAAATATAGTGTTAGTAATTGCATTAACTCATGAGTAGATATATTTTTGTCTTTTATATTCATATCAAGTCATCTTCAATTCACTTGTTGTTATCACCATTCCATTTTTCTAAAATTAATACTCCAAATGGCCGACACATCTTGGCAACATATCAAGGAAAAATACAAAAAAGAAATTGAAAAGGAAATATACTTTTGACTTCATGCATATTTTGTATCCTACAAGTTAAGTTATAAAATTGAATTTACAATGTAACTTTGATTCAATTCAAGAATGTTGCATATTAGGGCAATTGTGAATAATTTATGCAAAGTTATACAATATGGTTATATAAGGTTGTTGGTGGGTAATTTGAAATAAACCAATTTTATTTAAACATAATAGATATAATAGTGTTGTGAAGCAAATAATAATAGAAAAAAATTTAAAAAGCATCAAGCTATAGTAATAACTCTAATGAAAAGCAAACACATAATAATTAAATTATAAGATAAAAGATAAAGAGGAACAAATACATTGTTATTTATTTAATGAATTTGATTCAAATTGGTTTACATTCGTAGAAGAAGAGTTGTAATTTGGGGGAGAGAAATCTTTGCTCTAGAGAAAAGAAAAGCGACTTTACAATGTTAACCAACATCTTCATTGTATTTACAAACTTTGTTCCAAGATTAGAGTTCATTTATTTCTTGTTTCTGAAAATGCTCCCACTCCTTTCGTCGATACCTAAGCTGAAGGTCTTTAATTTAATCATCTGAATGTGATAAAGACCTTCATATTATTACTATAGATAACGCTTTTAATGTCGAATGTTTTTAATGTCGAATGTAAAATGTATTTTACTTCAAAAGTAGATGTGAAATAAATAAAGTCGTCATAAAAAATAAAGATTTATCACCTCAGTGTTTAAAATACCGAGGTAAAATTTATTAGCGCATGTGTTCGAACTCCAGCCGTAGTAAATCTTATTGTTTTCAAAACTAGTATATATTTTATCTCGATTTATCAAAATAACGAGAAGTATGATTTTTTTTTTTTTTAAATGTTACATTGTTTACCTAGAATATTGCATTGTTTACACAGAATATTACATTGTTTATCCAAAATATTAAAATTAAAATTAAAATCAAATTCTCTAGGGATCTAGATGAAAATCAAATTCCCTAAAGACCTAGATTTTAAATCTTCGAGTTATTTAATCTAGGTGAAAATCAAATATTGGGTACAAGATTATTCTCTATGGATCTTGCATGCATTTGTTTCTAGTGGAAAAAAAAAGGTAAAATAATTAATATAAAAAATAAAAAATATTTTCGGTACAAATAAAAATTTAATATAACAAATCTTGAACACAGATGATTTTCTTCTCTTGCAATCCATCGTAGAGAATTTTTACAAGCGTCTTTAAGTTTCAAGTGCTTCATATGTTTCATTTAGGTTAGATTTCCAATATCATAAGAGAACTTATATAATGGATGTCCCTTAGGTTTCACATGGATCAGTAATAACAAATTCTTGAACGTTGATAACCTTTAAATGGACGGTAAAGATTTGTTTAAGACCGTTGAAAATAGTGAAAAACAACACTTAACTATCATCTCAGTTTTGAAATAAAACTGACGTGATAGTTATTATTATTTATTACTTTTTGAACTATCACATTGGTTAATGTTAAAATCGAGGTGATATTTATTGTTATTATTATTAAAATAATATTAAAATAAATTGTTTGCAACAAATCTCTTCAATGGTGTTTTTACACTTGTAATTCATCATATAGGTGTTGATGCTTGAACGTCAGAACTTCGCGTCCAAGATTGATTGTTGATGCTATTATTATCATTGCCTTTACTAGCGTATACAATGTGCATGCATTGAATGCATGCAACTTCTAATAAGGTGTTTGTTTCAAAATTTTGAAAATATTTTTTCTTCACTTGCAATCCGTCACTAAAGACTTATAAGAATAACAATAAAAACATCAACACCATTGTTTCAGATAAATTACAAAAGCTGGAAAAAAATGTTTTGTTCAAGGTAGAAGAACACTTTTTTCAGTTTTGCAATTCATCCTAAAAAAATGATGCATTCGACGGTGGGGCGGCTACAAATAAGATATCATTAGGGTGAAATTTGTTCAACGAATATTTTTATCCTCAGGTTATCAAAGAAACCGAAAGGTTAAATCATTTATTTTATATTTGTAAACAAATAAAACATAAAGTGCAATAGTTGGGATTTGAAACATGTCCGGAATGGTATATCACCCCAGTTTTTAAAATAATCGGAGGAACAAGTTATTTTTTTAAATTAAATTAAATGGTGCGCCTTGGAATAAAACCTCAATTTTTTTCTGGATGACATGAAATCTTTGTCATGAAGAGCATTATATGTTATAGTTTGTGTGAAATATCGCTCAAAGTCAATCCTAGTTCCATGTGTGAAAGGAGATAGACTTGATATTTTGATCCCCACATGAATACAAACTTGGTGTGGAAGCTTGTAAGGATGACTTCCATGGAGATTTGATTGGTCTAATGGTTCTTCTCCATTAAGATTGGTTAGCTTAAGCCTTAAGTTATCCTAGCTTTAGAAATCTATGGGAAAATTGAGTATCACTTCATTGGGAAAAGGTTTTTTGAATTTTTCTTCTTTTGCTTAGAAGATGTTCATAGAAATTGTACGGTTGGTTCCTCGAACTTGAACCATGGGGTTTTAAAGTTGTTTCCTTGGACGCGAGATTTTGTCCCATCAACACTTAAACAAACTTTAACATAGGTTTGAATAAACAAACTTCAGCATAGGTTTGAATAAGAATACATGGATTATCGCAAGAATAATGAAAATATAAGATCTTATTTTTCATAGCTAGTTGCATTGGGACACCATTCTGCATAGACTCTACTTTAGATAAATCCTAATCTGACATAGTTTTTGGTATTATGTGAGGGTTATAATGGATTCAGACTTGGATAAGGAATTCGGTTATAAATCATGGTGGGAAGAATTGGCTTTGCTTTATTTGTAAAAATTGAGTTTGAGAAGGTTATTTAGTTTTGTCATTTATGCACTTGTATTGAACTCTTATTTGGAAATTGTAAAATAAGAGAAGTTCAAATGGATACTAACATACACAAAGCTAATTTAAAACCTAAAAAAGGGTAAAAGATAATGTGTGTATGTGTGTGTGAGAGAGAGAGAGGAATGATGAATGTGTTATTTCAGATGAATTATTAATGAAGAAATATAAGGAAATACATGTAAGTAAACATGAAGGAGAAATCATGGATGTGGTGAAGCTAATGGAGAAAAATACTAGCATGCAAGTCATTAATGAGGTCCAAGATATTGAAGTCATTGGTTCGATGAATTTGTTGAAGTCAGTAATGAGGTCCTAGAAAAATACTAGTTCTGATATTGAATTTGTTGATGCTACTCGGGCTGAGGAAAGAGTAATTGAGTGACAAATGTAACACCTCAAATTCTACCCGGTAGTTATAACA